CCCAACCAAGGAGCTTTTGTAGAGGGAAGACATATCACTGATCAAATCCTCATTGCAAATGAGAGTCTGGTGAGCTTCAAGAAATCTAAGAAGAAGGGAGTGGTATGCAAATTGGACTTGGAGAAGGCTTATGACTTAGTGGATTGGTCTTTTTTAGTGGAGGTGTTGAGAAGCTATGGCTTTGGAGATAGGTGGTGTAAATGGATTTGGGGCTATATTAGGACTTGTCACTATTCTATATTGGTGAATGGAACGATGGTTGACTTTTTACCTGCTTCGAGAGGTATAAGACAAGGAGACCCACTCTCCCCCTTTCTTTTTACCCTGATGGCTGATGCACTTGGGAGATTGATCTATAGAGCAGACTTGAGGAATCTGATAAAAGGGTGGAGAGTTGGCAGGGAGGAGGTACCACTGACACATCTCCAGTTTGCAGATGACATAATTTTGTTTTGTGAGGGTGGGAATATAAGTTGGATCTAGAATTTAAAATTAGCAATACAACTTTTTGAGCAGATGTCTAACCTCAAGGTGAACTTTGATAAGAGTTGTGTGGTGGGGTGAATGTGGAGGAGAGGGAGTTAAGGAATTATGCAGGTGTGTTAGGTTGTGCAATCTCAAAATGGCCTTTGACGTACTTGGGCCTCCCTTTAGGAGATAACCCTAAGAATGAAAGCTTTTGGACTCTGGTAGTGGAGAGATTTAAGAAGAGGCTTGCGTCTTGGAAGAGAAATTATCTTTCCTTAGGAGGGAGAGTCACTCTGATTAGGTCCACCCTAGCTAACTTACCTGTGTATTATTTGTCAGTATTTAAGATCCCCACCAAGGCCTCCAACTTATTGGAAAATTAATGAGAAATTTTTTGTGGGAGCAGGGAGAGGAGAAGAGAGATCATAGGGTGAGATGGGAGGTGGTAATTAGATGTAAAAAACTAGGAGGTCTTGGGATTGGAAACATCAAGAAAAGGAATATGGCGTTGTTGGGAAAATGGTTGTGGAGTCAGTGGAAAAGGAAAAATTGTGGACAAGGATCGTGGCTAGCATACATGGGCCGGAAGACAACGACTGGGATTCTAGAATTGTGGCAAGGGCTACAGCTGCTTCTCCATGGAAATCCATCCATGATCTGCTTCCAGTTTTCTCCCCTTGGATCAGGTACGATGTTAACTCTGGCAATCGAATAAAATTTTGGGAACATCTTTGGGTTGGGGTTTCACCTCTGAAGGACCAGTTTTCTTCCTTGTATGCTCTGTCAACTTTGAAA